CACTTCGTATAATTTTTTTTTCTCACACTTATCTGTTTCCCTGGATTTTCTTTCTCTCTTCTTCTGCTAATATCCAACCTCACTCAATTCCTCTTTCACTCTTTCTATAAATTTTTACATCTATCTTCTCTCTGCCTCCCTAATAAATATCACATCATACACCATTCTGTTATCTTTTTATCCACCATTTAAAATTGTAAACTCTTTTAACAAATTTACTGTTTATATTGTAGACAATAATTAAACATGTCATTCTGTTTATTGCAACAAATCAGTAGGCATCTTAATAGGAGCTATTAGGTTTAAGGCCATATGTTGTTTGCATTGGATGCTGTTAATATCAGTCTTCCTTTTAAAGGCAAGACACTGGAAACCTTCAGGGACATGATAAGTCTACAAGGTAGAAATTGTATTGCCTCTGATCCATACTGCTAGATGGGAAGAAAATAAAAAAAACTGGAAAAAAACAAGGGAACAAAGGGCCCCAAACAAACCAAGATGCTCCAATAATAGAATCCATTGACAACACTGGTGAAGAAATGTAAGAAAAGGGCTTTAGGATGTACATAGTTAAACTTATCTGTGAAGTAAATGATGGTATAAGGAGTGAAATCAGACAGAAAATACAGGAAATGAAAGATCACTTTAATAAAGAAGCAGAGATTCTGGAAAAAAAAGCAGAAATTGTGGAAATGAAGAACTCAATAAATCAAATTTTAAAATTCRGTAGAAAGCATCACCAATAGACTAGACCATTTGGAAGACAAAACCACAGGTAATGCAAGCAACATATTTATATAAGGAATAGTCAATCAAAGTAGAAACTAAGTCAAATTAAAAACCAGAAATATGTTGAGGGCCATGGACAAGTCAAGATGGTGCCTGGCACTGTGCCAGGAGGAGTGGTTTGAGAAGTAACACCAGTGAGCCATTAAGATGATGAGGATTCCTTAATGGCTTACTGCTGTATCTAGATGATGTTAATTAAGATAAGCTGTGTGTAATTATTAAGATGATGAGGATTCCTTAATGACTAATTACTGTATCTAGATGATGTTAATTGAAACAAGCTGTGTATAATGAGTTAGGTATAAATATCTCTGCTGTCCTACAATAAAGGGGCTCCTGCTGTTTCAACCTTCACAAGTTGCTTGACACACCCCCCCCCCCCGGGTTATTTTGCCCAGCCAGACTACGGCAGAGGGTGGCCCGTACGGGGAGCCCCAGGATGCTCGGGGGTGAGTGACAAGGTAGGCTGCCTGTCCCTGGAGATAGATGGGACAGGAGCAAAGCTGCTTGTCCCTGGAAGCAGATAGGTCGAGAGGAAGGATGGCCATCTCAGGAAAATGGAGAGGATTGATACAGTACGTTTGTGTCTTGTTTTGTCTTGGTGTGTTGTATTGTCTTTGTTACGAAAATATGGAAGGGGTGTTAAGTAAATTGCTAAGGGAAGGAGGCACCCCAGTGGAACCAAGAACAGTTAGGGCATACGTTGATRAAAGCCCAGGAATTCTAGTCAGAAAGAGGAAGAAAGTTCAGAGGAGGAAGGAGTATCAGGGGAAAAGTTGCAACAAAAGGCTACTACTAAATACTKTTCATCACCAGAGGGTGCATGAAGCGGTGTGGCGGCTGCCACCTGTGCAATGCAAGCCGATCGCGGGCGCAGGGGGAACTTTCCAGCAGGTGCCCCCCCCATGGGACTGCTGACACTGCAGCTGGTGGCAGATGACACGCCCCCGGCGCCCCTGAAGTTTGGTCATTTCCAATGTCAATAACTACAGTGGTTCTCCCACACCTGGAGGCTAATGAATATTGAGCACCATTAAGACCTATTTCAAATGTAAAAAACCTTGAGATAATGTATTCAATTGTTTGGAAGGTTGTTTTCTTGGTGTCTGCTGGAATGCTACAGGATTTTCTTTAGCCATCATTGCCAGAGATTTRTGCAATAAAAATAATCATACAGTTTAAAGCATTTTATACCCCCCAAATTCTCTTGCACCTATTTGAAGTCCATCCCCATGTTCAACCTTGATACCAATCCCATAGTGGGATTGATGGGTCATATGGTAAATCTACTTATAATTTTTTGAGGGGCCTTCATATAGTGTTCTGTTATGGCTGCATTAATTTAGATTTCCAATTACAGTGGACAAGGTCTCCCTTTGCTTCACAATCTCACCAGCACTCATTAACTTTTGTTGTAATCAGGTAAATGCAAATCAAGGTTATGTTGATATTTCATCCCACTTCAGCTAAAATAGCAATCATCAAGGACACAAATAATAGTAAATTATGGCAAGTATATGGAGGAGCAGATACACTCATATTTGTTGATGGGACTACAAATTACCTGGAAAGCACTATGGTAATTCTGAAAAGATTAGAAATGAAATCAATATGTCCCAGCTATTCCACTCTTTGGTATCCAAAAGAAATAAAATCAGAATCCTATATGATACATTTATATCAATGTTTATATCAGCACAATTTATACTAATGAAGTTATGGAACCAGCCCAGGTATCTATCAATRGATGAAAGGATAAAGAAAATGTCCTATATATGATAATGTAGTTTTACTTAATCATAAAGTTGAAATTATGTTATTTGCTGGTAAGTGGATGGAGCTGGAGAACATCATGCTATAAGATAAGACAGACTCAGAAATAAGACAGACTCAGAAATTCAATGGTTCACTGTTTTCTCTCATATGCAGAATCTAGAGAGAAATAATTTTTAAAAGGAAGGAATTCCAAGAAGATAGAAGGAAGAACAGTAGATGAGATGAAGGAGCTCAAAATGGAGGAATGAATATATTATAATGAATTACCCTTTTAAGTGTATCATTAAAGCACCAATTAAAAAATGATGAATAAGCCAAAGGAAGACCACTAGAATTAAGGAAATGGAGCAGGGATGGGAAGAAGGGGTGGGAAAGTGGAAGTACTACAGATTGAAATGGAGCAAATATTACATGCATGTATAAAAATGTCAAAATGAAGCCCATTATTATTTAAAACTATACTCCACTCACAAAACCTTTATAAAAAACCAACAGTACTGAGTGGTATATAGTAGATGCTCTATTAAAGCCACCCAGAGCCCCCTTCAGTTCTGAGGCATCCATCCCCTATATTGTGGGAGAATTGGTAGTTACAATTTCTCAGCTAAGTGTCTTTCTGGGAGTTGTCTTCAGCCAAGGCAAGCTCCCTCACCATAATTCATGCACCCTCATCATGTGCAAAGGCAGCTTATACCAATGAGTGATAAATGTGGTAGAAGAAAGGCCTGGCACACTTCCCTCAAGGCCCAACAATCCTGAATAACAATTTTAACTTCTTACAGGATCAATCTTTGTTGTGACTCCATTACAATTCAAGTATACTTCCTTTTAAATCCTACTTCTTTTACTTGACCATTGGTGCTAATCTTGATGGTATGCCCCCAACAAACAAACCCTACACACATCTTAGAATCAGTTTCCCAGGGCCCTAAACTAAGACAAATGTCTATTATGTTATCTTCATAAAGGGATATCYTTAATGTCTAACAAGAATTTATTATCCCCATAAGTAATCAGGTAAATTGAAATAAGTTAAATAAATTGATCAGCACTCATGATTGTGGGCTGAAGTCTCAATATGTTACTTTCCTTCAATAAAAATCCTAGCAGGTTTATTTAGCTGGAAACTCTTAGTAATTTGAAAGTTTACATGAATAAAAGCATAGTGACTTTGGATATCTGTGAAGCCAATTATCCTGATCCAAGAATAATTTAGTCCTACTAAATTCCAAGGGGGAGTGATAGAACTCTGTCAGCCTTAAATGGTTCCATCCTCGAATGTGGGTAGGGCCCTGAGGCATGGAGTAAGGAACTCTTTTTCTTGTCACAAATATGGAGACTTGGCCCAAATAATATTTCACYCTTCCCCCAGGTAGTGACTAATAATGGAAAGAAAAATGTATAAATCCCTCAGGTGCCAGTTTCATAAGGAAAAAGTTAGGTATGACTCTGTTTTCTAGGCTCTTTTCAGTTAGTTTAGCAGAGAGATGGCTCAATAGGTCTGAGTTAGCTCAACAGAACAGGCTATGACCAATAGTGGAGTAATCTTMGTTTTAGAGTCACATAAGTGTTTCCTTCTTTTGATCCCCTAAATACACAGGGCATTATGGTAACAGGGGGCCCTCTCTACAAAACACTGACCACCGTGAACAGTCCAGGTGTGTCTGTACTAAGCTCAGTGTTCTATGAGATAAGGAGAGTTCAGGAATTTTCCGTGGTCCTCTCCATCTTGGCTTATACATTTTAACCTGCATTTTATAACTGTATTTTATGGTAGTTGGGGCCTATATCCATTCCTCTTACATTCCTTAAAACTTCCCTTTGGATAAGTAATTGCCAAAAGAAGCCTCCCTAAGCCTTGACTAGATTCCTCTGATTAAAAAAAAAAATTTCCATTGTCTAGTTAATAAGAAAGCTTTAAAAATTATTTTCCAAGTGCCTTCCCTGTGCCTTTCAATGTAGTATAACTTTCAGGAAGAAAATAGAACTGATATGAGAAACTTAAAATAGATGATATCCAGTCGGGTTTGGAGTGAAAAAAGAACATTTTAAATGTTATTTATACAGGTAATTTTCAGGGCATGACTATTAATAAGAACAAGAATTCTCCTAAATCTTTTCCAGAAGTACTATGATGTCTGGGAAAGATTCAAGTAGGAAATATATGAAGAAACACACCTTGGCTCAGATATCACTTCAGTTCCAGGCATATCATGTTGGAACAGGTTTACTGCAATCAGAACACAGAGACCTTTCAAGTAATGCAAATGTAAACTGCAATTGTACTTGAGCATAAAACAGAAGCTTTGCTGTTTTCTCCATGAAAAGCGATTAATTTTTTGATTGGTAGGAAGAAAAGTTTAGTTGGCACATAATATAAGCTCGGGTAAACAATGTGCTGGCTTGGACTTTCGTGGAGGTCTATGCTATTGTAGAAGCATTGCTGAACTACCTGCGGGCACCAAGGCAACCATTTGAAAGACCTGGAAAGAAATTTTCTCTGTATTCTGGAGCTCAAGTAAGTGATCAGAATGCTGATGGTGGTTGGATGTCAGACCGCCCTCTGACAGAGGTTGAGGAGAATCACTAGACCAGCTAGAGAGTGTCTCCGGGCTGAGCGAGGGTGAATGTCACCACCCGGCCTGGCAAAAATCACACCGAGGCGGGAGTTGAGTCAGCCGAGATGGCGCAGCAACTCAGTTTATTGTGGAGGGAGAGGACTTATAGAGAGAGGAGAAGGAGGTGGGGGCAAAGGCAGGGGGCAATCAGAGATCGGAGAGTCCCCCAGATTGGGGTAGCCTAGGCACCCCAGTTACAGAAACAGAGCCCCCTTACCCTAGTTGCAGAAACAATACCCCATTAGGTATGTGTGCCCCGTTGCTGGGGAGTTATTCTTTGTGTTTGCAGAAGCCATATCTTGGGGCCATTCAGGCATGTATATGGAAGCCATTTCTCAAGCTCTAACTGTCA